AATGTGGTTTTATGCACTCAAAACATATTTAAGACAGTCCTGTAAGCTATCTTTGCAACTCATTGATTTGACTGCCCCCTATTTCACAATGTTTAGTCAAATCAATTTCTATTACTAGAGAGATCATCAGCTAGAGGAGGCCTAGCTTGGCTGCTTAGATGTTTGTTCACAACTCACTAAAACAATCTTTTTGTGTTAAAACCTTCAGTGTGTATCAAAAAATATTTTAATAATGTCTAATGTCATTCAGTGTTGAGAAAAGTAGATAAACTAAGAGTTTACCTAAGAACTGCTTAAAATTTGGTAAAACTTTTTGAATGATTTTGGTTAAAAGCAACAAATGCTTTTATTTTTCACAGGAAGTGTACATGATGAAACTTGTAGGTAAATGGTATTTTTTGTTTGTTTGTTTGCTTGTTTCAAAGTGACATGTCAGGTTGTACAATATTATTATCTACTCAGGTCCTTCAAATATTTACTAAATCTTGTCTGTGCTGGAAGTGGCTCATCCATGTTATGAGGGAAAATGAGGCAAAAACACTGCACTGATTTGGTCTTCAGATTCTAACAGTGTATTTGATTTGGTTAAAAGATGGTGCAAAGACTCTACTTAACTATTATTTATAAGAGAAAAACAAGGTACCTATGAAAAATATGAAGCTGAGGTTTTTCCCAATTAAAAAGTTAATTTAATGAATTAAGTAATTTTCATATCTGTTTCAGATGATACAATCAATATGATGAATTTGCATGGGTTACTAATATTTCTTCCTGTGAGCATTGAGTCAGTTCTGTTGTGGCAGCTATGAAAAAGCTTGCTGCTTTTGATGATGGATTTCTGGTATCACACCTGTATTGATGGTGTTCCTTTAGCCCCTGAATACACAGAACGATAAACAAAAAGCCATTAGTGAATTTTACAACCATAACTGTAGAAACACTCTTCAGTGTGGGTTTTAGAGTAGACCACTTGCACACCTTCAAATGTTTTTTAGCTTTTTAAAGTATATGGAGTGAAGAAGTTGGTTTTATTTTTTTTGGTAGTCTTATTTGAGGCCATTAATTAGTAGTTGTATAAAATCCTTTCAACAATATTTCCATCGTCATCATTTTTTTTTTTTTTCATACAGAAGTAACTTTTGTGTACTCTTTTACTAATTATAAAGACTGCTTTGGATTTGCCTGGACTTACCAGGTCAACAGTCCTTGAATTGGTGAATTTTATGGTCTGCTGAAAAAAGTTTAACATGGAAATTAAATACAAAAATGAAGGTTCAAAATGGTAAGGCTATCGTACAAAGTAAAACACACCTGTGTGTCCTGAGCCAAGGACAGAATACTAGCCACTTTGGATTTCGTGACTTTCGTTAGTTTGTATTTCATTCTTTTTATTTAAATGCTTCTTTCTTATGCATTTTTGTAATTCATTTGGAGACATACATGTATATTGGCCTGCTTCTAAGCTGCTGTTTGCCGACACCAGTTAAACATGTGTTTCTTTGTCTTCTAGTGAAACTCAAGATTCTTATGTTTATGTTGACTTACTTTTTGTGGCTTGTATTATAATTAGGAGAGCCTAGCCTGACTGTTTTTTATGCTTTGTACATATTAAGTTTCATTGCCCAGTATGTGGGAACGTAGACAGTATTTACCAGCTCATTAACCTCCTTAAATTGATTGCAGAATGGATTATTTCCTGTCACCATCACAGGTCAGTGGATGGATTACACTCCAGTGGACTCTTTCTAGAATAGTTGAAAAATGTTAAACTAACACTGCATTGACTGACTGGCATGATTCTGCTAATTTGCATTTTTTTGGGGGGTGGAAGTATCCAGATTAGACAATAGGTTAATGTTATCATTGTTCTGAAGTTAGGAAAGGCAGTTGTGGACTAAGAAAACCTCACTAGTTGATCCAGTTCCTCTGCAAAATGTAAATGTTTTATACAAATATAGCACATTTTCAGGACCTGTTGTTGACGGAAGGAAGACACAGACACTCAATATGAGTGAACAGTGAACTTCAACTTTAATGGATAGCTTAGTCGCCTTTTATCTAGTTCGAACATAATCAACTCATACATATTGCAAAAACTAAGCTCAGGATTGGCTAACACTTCCCGGTCTTTTCAGTTAGTTCCTCCTTCTTTTAGCTACTGTCCCGCCTTAGGGACTTTCCCTATCACACAAGGTCATCGTGTCCTTGAGCCTGATTGGCTCTCAGCCAGCTGCGTGTGTGCCCCGACTCATATGAGTTGAGTACGGTACTTCACTAGCCCATTGCCTCCTAACTGCTCAACATCCACATGTCCTACTTCACTTAACCATTCCTCCACAAGGACCCTGTTTATGAAGATTAGTGTATGTTTGGACAAAGATGAAGTATGTATGACTATGTAGTCTCACCAATGTACCTGGCAACAAATAAGTATTTGTCTTGGACCTATTCTTAAGAAGCAACAAATTCAGGAAAGATGGCCTTTGCATCTCTCAGCATCAAAATTAGTACCCTATCTTCCATAAAAGTCATGTATATCTGTAGTGGGTTTACGTGGCAAGGTTTTTGTAGCAGGGGGCCATAGGTGTGGTTTCTGTGAGAAGGATCTAGAAGCTGCCCCATGTTTGGGAAGGGCCCCATTGTTTTCCAGATCTGAGCCAATAAGCGATGTTGTTTTGCGCCTCTGTGAGAGCATATTTAAGACAGGGAAAAAAAACGCTGCACCACACAGCAGCCGGGAGAGTCAAGGGAGTGAGAAACAGCCTTGCAGGTGCCAAGGTCAGTGTAGAAGGAGGGGGAGAGGTGCTCCAGGTGCCGGAGCAGAAGTCCCCTGCGGCCTGTGGTGAGGACCATGGTGAAGCAGGATGTCCCCCTGCAGCCCATGGAGTACCACGGTGGAGCAGGGTTCCACGCTGCAGCCCATGGAGGAGACCACGGTGGAGCAGGTGGCCCTGCACCGACGGAGGCTGCCGCCTGTGGAAGACCCCTGCTGGAGCAGATTCTGGGCCGGACCTGTAGCCCATGGAGAGGAGACCACGCAGGAGCAGGTGACCTGGCAGGAGCTGCTGCCCGTGGGGGAGCCAGGTTGGAGCAGTTTGCTCCTGAGGGATGGACCCCGTGGTACGGACCCATATCTGGAGCAGTTCTGGAAGAGCTGCTGCCTGTGGGAAGCCCACACCGGATCAGTTCATCAAGGACTGGATCCCGTGGGTGGGACCCCACAGCACAGGGGACGAGAATGACCAAGAAGGAGCGGCAGAGAAGAAGCGCTGTAGACTGACCATAACCCCCATTCCCCCGTTCCCCTGTGCCGCTCGGGGGGAGCAGGTGGAAGAGGGTGGATGGGGGGGGAGGTGCTTTTGGTTTCTTTCCTTTGTTTCTCACTTCTCTAGCTTGTTAGTAATGAGCAATAAATCTTACTATCTCCTTATGCTGAGTCTGTTTTGCCTGTTAAAATAATTATTGTGTGATTTTCTCGTCCTTATCTCAACCTTTGAGCCCTTTTCACATATTTTTTCCCCATTCCTCTTTGAGGAGGGGGAGTGAGAGAGCAGCTGTGGTGGAGCTCAGCTGCCCACTTGAGCGGAACCACAACAATATCTAAGAGAAGGAATTCACAGACCTTATTTATTTAACGCTGGATGCTGACAGGGTTGACACCATTGCTCTTTAATATTTAGACCAGTGATGTTATACTTGCTGAATCAGGGAATTTTGGATAGGCTGGTGATTTTGTTGTTCAGCTGATCATTTTCACTCAAGAATAATGCATCATGAGAAAGAACTTAAACTAGAAGACTCTCTGGTTAAATTATCCACAGCTGGATCTTCAGGGAGCTCTCTTTTTGTTCTGAGTAATCACCATGCAATGAACTACCTCTGTGTTGTCTTCAATTAGGTTAGCAGCAGATTCAGCTGGGCTGTTCCAACCTGTAGCCTCAAGGCTTCTGAAGTCTATAAAAATTCTTGCTAAAATAAGCCTTAGCCAATCAGGGCTGTTATAAGAGTTGATTCTATATTGTACACTGCATAAATGAGATAATGTGTAAAATCTATGTGATATTTAATAACCTTGTTGCAAGGTTAAAGACTTCTGCCATCCAGGATTCTTACTTGAAGGGATATCTTTTATTTGTTTGTGTCACTGAAAACCAGAGTAAAAACTTGAACCTAACTTTTAAAGGTGCTTTCCACGGCATTTTTGGGAAAGAAACTTACTTTTTTACTGGGTGTTATTTGCAGGAGTAAACACTTTATTTTGTGGAAGTATTTATATCAAATATAAATAGCTTTTCCAAAGGTAACTGCTTGTTTTAATTACACTGGTGACTAAGCTGCTCTTCTCCTAAGTGTTTGCAGCTTCACATTATGTTAGAAATCTAGGTCCCAGTTCACGAGAGCACTAATACACCCATGCTATTGCTGTGGGTATCATACCTTAATTAAAGTTAATTGGCCTGATAAATAGATACTGAATGTAATAATTTCAGATTGCATGATGTTCTGTGATACTAGTGTGTTGTCAGAATTCTAGATGGGGATTCCAAAGAACATATAATTAGATACCTTTTTTTTTCTTGCTTTGACATGTCTTCAGTATGATGTTACATACAACATGTTATAATGCTTGTATTTACATTTTAATTATGTTCTGAATTCCAGATGTTGCATGCAGGAATTTCTGTTTTTCCGTTGTATTAATACAACTGCTGAATTTAACCATTATTTGTCTCATACTGTCCATGTATTATTATTTAAATTTTATTTCTCTCTGAATAATGTTAGAAATAGTTATCCACTCCCCTCTCCCTCCCCTCTTTGATTTGCTAGAAATTTAAGGGCTGTATGCTTATGCCTTTTATTAATTCCTTAATTATATTTTATGTATCAGTGTTGCTTGAAAATTTTTAGTCCTTTGTTTGTTACTTTGTATATCATATGCTATATGATATTACAGTTCACCTTATTTTATTTTTTTTTGTCTATTTTCTTTAATACAGGGTTGGGAAGAAACTGTGGATTCTGCCATTTCTTCCTTGCTAAGAACTTGCTTGTCCAAGAGCTCTAAGGAACAGGCACTGACTCTTGGTGGCCAGTTGAGCATGCCCAAAGATACCAGCAGACTTAAGAAGAATATCAGCCTGTTCTGTGATAGACTGGCCAAAGGTGGTCGCCTTTCCTTAAGTACAGAATCAGCCACTCAGCAAGTTGCTGCTGTGCCAGGTAAGACATGAACTTTATGTTCATAATTCAAACCATATAGTTGCATATAAAAATTAAAAATTATGTGTTTGGAGCTTGTTTTTTCACTGGTTGTGGAAGCCAGGCACTACTTGTGCTGTTAACTAATAGGACGTGTTAGTTAATATAATGTTAAATCAAAGTTGTAGCTCAGTTTGATCATTTATGACTCATCCTAGAGCATATGAATAGTTATGGAGCAAATGTATCCTGTATGGTCATCCAAATACTCTAACAACTTAATTATTAAGCAATTCTAATACTCTGAAAGCTCACTGATTTTTTGCACTTTCCAATTATATTTATGTTGTGCATTTCTAACATACTTGATGGAAAAGTGAGGGGTGGGAATTTCCACTTCCTTGATAAATCCTAATTTATTGATTGAGAAATTACTGTAGTTTTATTATCAGCTCCATGATATGCATATGACTAATTGTAATGCAGTGATAACACTGAATACAAAAATCTGCAACCTTAGAAAGTTCAAGTTGGGTAGATGATGCATGAAATTCATGATCAAACTAATTTAAACAGGTCTTGAAGGACATTTCTCATTTAGAAAAGGAACTTAGAGAAGATGCTGCACAATTCAGTGCTGCACAGTGATTGAATTGAAAATCATGGAATCAAAACTTTTTAAAGAAATGTTATTCATGCCGTTTTCTGTATTCATACTTGACAGTGGGAGCAAAACTACACGTCTCTAGAAGATTCTGAAGGTTAGCATCTTTGTTCTGCTGCAAGACATTTTCTTCCTGCTTTTTTTTCCTCTAGTTGGTCAGAAGGGGTCTTAATAAACATCACAAATTCCTGCTGACTTGGTACACTGTGTTTTTACAGCTACCAGCTGTTTAGGTAGGAAGCTCATTCGGCTTCATAGTGTTCTAACCAACATAATCTCTGTATTATGTTCTAACCAACATAATCTCTGTATTATATTAGGCCCCGATGACCTTCTTTACCTAGAGCAGTCTTCACAAATGTAGGGAAAAGTATATATTGTATGTATACTTCATGCTTAAAATTGAATTTAGTATTTTGCCTTCATGGGTGTTGTTTTCGATCAATATTGGAATTGTTAGGGCAGTATCTTGATTTCCTATCTTTTGTTTTATTACCTCACAAAGGATAATTTAATTCCTCTTTAATGCAATCTGAATGGCTTGTGCAATGTTTTGGCAATTAATTTAGATGTCCTTGTAATTATTATGTGCAAACCTTTTTTGCATGTGGTGATTCAGATGCTTTGGTAAAATGACCAGAGACTTTGCAATGCCAGAAAATATTCTAATTAATTTCTCCTTAGTGTTATGCTGTGCCCATGTCTAGAAGTGGACTGATAATCACATGAAGTGAAGAAGTGATCCAGAATAAATATCAAATTAGTTTTACATATTTTTTCAATAATTCTTCGAAAGGTTGAAGTATACATTAAGTGCATTTCATTTGTTGAACTTTATATAATATTATGTAAGTATTGTTCCATTGTTTCTCCTTTTGAAAACGCTTAAATAGCTGCCTCATCTTTTTCTGTCTAAACTAAGGATGAAATGATTTAATGAGGAAATTGACTTCTGCTTGTTCAATTTACCAGTCTTACTGAGATCAGGGGACTGTTCTCATGGTCATGACTCATTAGGAAAAGAGTAAATTTTCCAGAGACTGTATACAAATTAGAAGAAAATTTAGTCTTCGTGAAGGACCTTGAGAAAGCAGTCTGATCATGCCCTCCCCATTGCATGCACAGCAATTAAAATTAAAAAATGCTGAACTTAATCCTTGCTATTACAGGAGGCCAAAAAACAAGAAATTATAAGTGAAAAGTACTAGAATCATTTTTCCCATTGTGGTACAGGTAGACAGTTATACTACCTCTCAAATAAAAATAGTATAAGGAAGAAGCACCTTCCAAGCAAAATACAAGAAATTTGGCTGTGGGTTGTTAACCATGTATTGATGATATATCGGATCAGGATTAACGTTTCACATGATTAATAGTGAAAAACTAAGTACCTGTAAGTGGCTGGTTGAGACCTCATATAGCAGTGTCTCACCCAACATAAACTTTTACCTATACATGAAATGCCCTTTGGTCATGATTTATGTTAAAAGGAATTAAAATCTGTAATCCAAATATAGATTCCAAAATAAATCATTTCACTTTCAAAATTGCTGACTCTAGTATGTAGCGATTTTGAATATCAAATCACCTAATAAAGAATCAAAATTATGACCTAATTAGGCTAACACTTGAGAAGGTCAAAAGAAGGTATCAATTAGAGAAATTATTATAAAACCAAATTTAACTTTTTCACTGAGAGTTCAGCATGGAGCCCAGAGAAGAGGTTCTATATATTTATGTATTTAATTTTTAACTATGGAGACTATATGGGTTTTGGAAAACCTTGGAAGAGCTAATGTCAAAGTTATGTTATACTTCAAAATAGAGAATTTCACCTTAATTTTTAAGACAGTCTCATTAGGGAGAAATTATTCTGCCATGTGCTTATAGTAGCAGAGTATTTAAGTAACTAATTTCTAACAGAATGTGTTGTATGCTCTGAAGCAGTGTGAATGCTTGATTGCCTTTGGACAGAGACTGAAGAAAACTTTTTTTTTTTTTTTTAATTTTTATTTGGGGGAGGGGAGAGGATAAGATGTTTCTGAGGCTTTTAAAACATGCTTTTTGTCTTGTGTCACCTGTTGTAGTTTTCTGTGGCTTTCTTTACATTAGCAACTAGTGTGGTCCAAGCAGATTTACAGAGGGCAGTAACAGAAGCTGGCAACAGGACTTGTATGCATTTCAGAGGGGATTTATCTGAACTAGCTCTGTTCCTGTTGAATGTACCGGTCCTCCAGTAACAAAGTGCTTTGGGTGCATTCCTGGCATTCATCTTTTAGATTCACCTAAAAGAAGTGAGTTTGTGTACCCAAGCTTCAGACCAGGCTAGATCAAAAGATAGTCCCCCACATGGGTTGTTAGACACTGGAACAGGCTGCCCAGGGAAGTGGTGGAGTCACCATCCCTGGAAGTCTTTAAAAGACGTTTAGATGTAGAGCTTAGGGATATGGTTTAGTGGGGACTGTTAGCGTTAGGTCAGAGGTTGGACTCAATGATCTTGAGGTCTCTTCCAACCTAGAAATTCTGTGATAATTGTTCAGTAATGTAGCAGTCATTAGCTTAAGGATGTTGTTCAATGTCGCTTTTTCTTAAGCTCATTCTTTTTCTTAATGTTGGAAACTCCTTTTTCTATTGCAACATTTTTTTTCTTTTAGTGTTTTAAAAATGCCTAGGACCCTTCAAACATTGCAGCACTCTACCAGTAAACTGGATTTTTAAAGGTTATACATAGTATGTTCAAGATGATGTGCCCTGAAATCTAGGGGAAATGTGTGAAAGCCATGTTAAAAAAACTGATACCTACCTTTAAGTGTGCAACTAGTTGAAAGATGCATTCAGAAAGTAGCTACCAATATCTGTAGTCAGTTCAGAAATATATGCTAGAGGTATGATATGGTCCCTGATGTACCTGGTTTTCTTCATAATTTTCATTAATGACTTCAGTGATGGAACAGAGAGCATAACTCATATGTTAAATTTGTGGTTTTGCAACAAGCTAAAAGTAGTTTCAAGCACATTGAAAGAGCAATAATTCAGAATGATCTCGATTAATTATACGAAAGATCTGAAATCGGTAAGATGAAATTCAGTGGACACAAGTGCAAAGAGTCTAGCAAATAAAAGTCAGACAAATGAATTCAAAATTGAGAAACAATTCCTTAAGCACTGCTGGAATAAGAGATAATCTGGGGGTCATAGTGGACCAGATGCTGCACGGAAATCAGTAACATGATCCTATTAAATCAAATTCCAACTTTGGAATGCAGTGATATAACTTTAATGAAGAGAGTTAATTATTTATTTCTGTTCTTCACAAGGATGATTCAATTGAAATGATTTGGTAACACAGTTTAAGAAAAGCTTAGATTAATAGAATTCAGAGAAGAACATAAAATATAATTAATTGAAACAATATGATTTTTATTTCTTCTGAGGGTAGTAAGAAAGAGAAGGTTGAGAAGGGATATGATAGTTTTCCAGTATTTTTCTGTATTTATATATATGATGTTGCTTTGCCAAGTGTGATGATAGATACTTGACTTCACTTTTCATCTTCATAATATTTTTTTTTGATTTATCGATCGGATTATAATTTTATTCTGCAAAGAGCTTGTAAGTCTTCTGTTTGGTGCTACCAGCTTTGTGTAATCATGAATTTATCATTCAGATTATGAATGGGTAAATGCAAACATTAAATACACCTTTTTAATCATTGTATGTGTACATATGCACCCAGAATGTATTTCAAGGGAACAGAAGAGCAATGTTAATTTTTTTTTTTTATATATATTGAAAACATGAATATTGATGTAAAATTCTTAGTACACAGAGTTGTACTATAAAGAAAGACTAACATTTTTGTCAATTCTAAAAGAAAATAGGATTTTGTTGTTGAAAACTTATCTCTTACCGTGTTAATTAGAAATTCCTTCATTGGTGTCATCAGGAGAAAGGAAAGAGCAGTATTACTTGGGTATTCTCAAACTTTATGGTGTGGACTAACAAAGAATGCCTTGTGAAATGTAGTGCGTGTTGTTTCTACTCACAGAGGTTCCCAGCTCCTGGCTGTAACATTGTTACCTCAGTAGCAACTGCATTATTATTATCATCATCATCCCAGGGAAGTTATAATCAGTAAGTTTAAAAAATATTGAAAAGTAATTTAGCAGCCTGAAGAGGACAGGGAAGATGGCCCAGAGGACTAGTCCATTCTTTTGAACTACTAGTATATATACACTAAATCAACAGAGGCCGATCACAGTTGGAAAACTTTTCCTGTAACTTAATTATTGTGAGCCTGAGATCATAGTGCATTGACAGCTTTGTATAGCACTCTGTGTTGGGTGCAGAGTAGTGTATAAAAAGTGCCAAGTTATTAATCCTCATGGACGTGACACAAATCCAGTGCTGTTTATCTCTACAGAAGACCACAGTCCATTATGAAATGTGATTCTTAAAATGTTTTCCATGTTTTCTGTAGCAATACCATACAAAAATACATTTTTTTGTAACCCTTAAAAATAATGCTTTTTTCATGATTTGTCCTAAATTAGTTTAAATGTATCCTTTTTTTTTTTTAACAATACTCATTAAATCTGTGTAAAGAAAAGTGAAAGTAAAGTTTTATTCAGAGTGTTTGTTCTGTGCTGCAAATACTGCAAGGGTTTTATACACCTGAAGATTGGTCAGTGATGATTGATGGAACTAGTAGTCCACTGAGATCAGTGGAAACTTTGTCATTGAACAGATTAGATCCAGCACTTTACTCATAATTTTGATAGTATTCTCTGCCTGTTTCCACTATTTCATGAGACAGTGTAACCAAAGTACCTTGGGAGTGATCTAGGAAATATTTTTATCTATCTGAGATCTCGGGAGTCTAACCTTTAATAGAAGTGCCTATTTTTCATTGAAATTCATTTTGAGGACTTCTTTCCCTTAAATGTACCCAGAGATTTTGCAGGCACACTTATAAATCACTACATGCCTATCCATTCCTATTATTTGTTTGATCAAGCCCTTAATTGTGAAACTGACATTAACTCATTTTAACCATTGCAATGAAAATTCTAACTCATCTTTTCTACCTTTCTTAAAGTCATATAGGTTGCTCCATTAAATAACTTTGAAGGCTGATTACCCCAGGAAGTGGGTGATTTATTAAGAGTGAAAAACAAAAATAAAAAATTACAGATGAGATTATCTTTAAATGAAAAATTCATTTTTTTTTTTTTTTAACAGTGGGAGTACATTTCTTACGTTTCCTGGGTATATTAACTTTTTTTTTTTTTTTTAAATAAATATCTGAACTATAGTGGTAAATCACTAAAATATCACATTCAGTAGTCTTTATTCTCTGAAGTTCTCAAACCTCTCATAGGCATGCTTACCTGATCCGAAAATAAATGTATGCCTGCATTTTAATTATAACAATAACAATTAATGTACACCTGCATTTTAACAATTAGATACTTTTGCTCTTTTTCCCATAGAACCTGGGTGTCCCAAAGCAGTTACTGTAGAGAAAACCCTGACGTACTGAAGTGGATCTATCAAGCGATGAGATTCTGGGAAGGTTTGACAAAGGTGTAACTGAGACTAAATTAATAAACAGCATGGCCATCGTGTGCTTCTGTATTCAATTTGTGCAGCTCTGTGCAATTTGTGCAGTTCAACCACAGTTGAACTGTTGAGCCTATAACTTTCTGCTTGCCATCTAATTGCAGATAATAATCACGTAAGAATGATAAAAAGAACAAGGTTGCCATAAGTCTTACAGCACCTAGAATTGCTGTGCACTTCTGCTGTGTTTTCTCATGCCAGCTAATAATGAGACATGACATGGTATAACATACAACCTAATAGAGTGGTGCAACTTAAGTGTGACTTCTAGTTCTTCATATTTAAAATATTCTCACAGAAATTTATCAGTTGTTCATGATGAACAGTTCTATCTTAATTTAAAAGCCTAAAAACAAGCAAGTAGTAATGTATCAGACATTTTAAATATTTTTGGGATCTATTTTTGAAACTTAAATATGTCTCTTGCCCCATAAAGCTGATTTAGTGAAAAGGAAAGGGAGTAGCAAATCATTAGGGAGAATTTTGGGAGTGCTTACACCAACAAGATTTTCCGGTTGCTCAAGAAAAGCTTAAGACCAGCTTGGTGGAGCCAGAAACAGATTGTTTGGCTCTCTGATGTGGATCATTACTCCCTCTAACTTATTTCCATTGTAACGTTACTCTTTAAAACTTTTATTTCCATTGTTTTAGTAGTTTTGGTATTTTAATTCTGTGAAATGGAAAATTGAACTATACAGAAGTGATGTACCCAAGATCCCACCACGAGCCAATAACACCTGTATGAATAGAATTTAAATATAATGCCTTACAGTCTCGTGCTGTAGTTCCCACCTACCTTAGGTTTTAGGTGTTCTATTTTTAAGACAGGTTACAGATTACTAGATACTGATGAACCAGCTTGCTTTACAGCTTATTCTTGTATCATTCTGTATGATTCAGGTGAACACATTTTGAAAACAGAAAACTGAACATCAGACAAGGGAAGAGAATGTGGAAGAATGTCTGAAGTGGTCTTTAATGTTCATTAATTTAGTCAAATTTAATCATGCTGCTGGACTTGGATTGTAGCTTTCTTAAAGTTGTTAATTTTCAAGAATTTCAAAAAAATGGTAAATCATTGGAATCATTTTTTTTTAAATTATTTATCTTAGAATGTGAAAAGCAAAACAAGGTAGAAGGGTATAAAGACACATTTTTGCATGCAGGGTTATGAAAAGGTTTTTATTATGTAGTTGAGAAAATCTCCCCTCCTCAATTGATATTACAGCTGGCAAAAACCACAGAGTGGAGTGCAAAGGTTAAGAAGGCTAAAGCAATAACATTTAAAAAAAAATGAATAATTTAAATAGGAAAATGTCATGCATAATGAATAAAAAGAAATCCTGCTTGAGATTTGGGATTCATTCATTTGTTATACTATGAAATTTAGTTGGCAATGTTGCAATTCCAGCTTGCCTCATCTAAGTACAGTTCAGATCAACGCATTAGTGCCTTGGTGCATATAGTCCTATTGCTGACTCTTTGCCTTGAAATCCATTAAATTTTAATTCATTCTACTTAACTCTAACTGGTCACAGAAGATTCATAATTTTGAGGTAAGCTTTTGGTGAAAATAATTGTGAGTTGAAAGAATTTTCCCTAATGATCATGTTTGTCATTGTGCTCTATATTCTGTATTCTTTGTCCCTTAAAGACCATAAGCAGAAATAAACTTCTAAAATCTGCACTAAATAGTTAATTGCTCAAAGCTACAGAAAAGTGGTGTGTGGCTAAAGTAGGAAGAGTACAGCCTCTGGACTTCCATTTCAGGTGATTCAAAAGTAGAAAGTAAAACAAACACACAAACAAAAAAAAAACACACAAAACACAACTAGACAGTTATTTGAAAAGGCCATAATATGATATAATCTACTATTAAATAAAACCAAACTTTAATAATATAACATAATCCTTTCATTTAATGTGTAGTACTAATGAGGAGGAGTCTGTCTTGTACATCCAGTCATACTATGGATTTCCACCTAACAGGTTTCCATTGGTTCATTTAGGTTTTGGTTTCCTGTGATGTTTTGAGAATCTGTATGACAGAATGCCTTATTATTTGCACAGGAGCTGTGGGTATTTGAAGAGCATGATCATCTCTGCTGTTTAAATGATATTACTTCTCCTTTTCAGTTTCTATCTAGACCACCATAAAATTATAGTACTTGTCAGTTTTTGGCAAGTACAGGTGTAGCAGATTCTTCCACAAAAAGGTACTGGGGAGGAGATATAACAGGGGGGTGAGGCAGAGCAAATATCTCTCAGGTCACCCCTCCTCTCTTGAAATGTTGAAAAAAGGTTCTTCAGGAACTTGTAGTGGTATTTTGCTTGTTTGTTGTGTGTGTACAACAATTCTCTTAAGTTGACTAAATATTTCATTTTGCATTGTATATAACTCAAGCCACAATGTGTCAAGGTTAATTGCTTATTCATTTTCTTCTGATTGGAAGTGACATCCTTTAGTTAGCAAAGATGTAACTATTTACAGGTCAGGTGATGCTGTAGCTGTTATCTGAGGCACCACAACTCATTCGTTTTGCATTTGCTACTTGTTTTCTGACTCATTTAGGTTGAGTAAACCTGATTCTTCTCCTATGCTGTCATGAATTAGATAAATATTAACTGAAATTGGTAGTATTACATAAGTCTAAGCTGTTCAGAGCAAGTGTGCCCAGAATGAGATAGTTTGTTATTTGCATGTGTTTTTTGTGTGTTATCACTGAACTTGGCCTACAGGTTTTGAAAGGAAACTCTTACTCCGTATTTTGCTTGGTCCTGAATTTAACAAATCACTTGAGCTATGATGGCATTAATGTTTTTCATCGGTATTCAGGTGTTTTTAAAATGAAGTTTTATTTTCGTTTGTTTGTGTGTATGATTGATTTCATCGATTTTTATCATGCAGGGAGTGTACCATGTACAAGGCTCTGGAAGTCTGTGGTGAATTAGTAGTGCAAAATTATATATCCCTAACATCCATTATAATGTATTTGCAATTCTACAATACTATGAAGGAGTCTAACAAATCTAAACCTAGTGAAAATTACATATTTTGTACATGCAGAACTGATTTTTCAATTACTTCAGACTTTTTTAGGTCCTAATCCAAATCCTGATGAAATCTATGGGAGTTTTTCCATAGACTTCAGTAAGCTTTGGCTCAGACCCCCAGTTTTCATATTTTTCAAATAGATTTGCCAAAAATCTGCAGAGAGCCAGGCACTTGGAAAGTTTTCACTTGCAAAGTACAGCTGGTTTTGAGTTGCATACAGAAAAGTTCCCAATGCTTTTCTGAAACATAAAAAACAGTTTTAAGGTCTTACAACTTTAGTAGGTAGAAGATTGGCCTTAACATTTAAGGCACAAATTGCCTTGAGTCTTAGTGAAAGGTTGACAATTTCCATACTGGAAGGATTATTTTCAAAATGTATAAATACAGGATAACAAAGCTTAAGATGATGATCTTATTGTAAATTCAGCTACAGCTTTCTTGTGTTGTGAGTTTCAGAGAGCCAGGACTGCCTGTCCTAGTAAATGGTATTTTTCTGTTACAGCAGAAAACTACATTCCCTGGGGTTAACTACACCAATTTGAGAGAGAACTCTTGAACTTGAGGGAACATAGAATGCAGCCAGATCCATCTGGTGATGCAGGGTGGTTTTCACTGCCTCTGGGTGATTGGATCAGTGTACTTGGCAGTAGATGTGGTTGGACAGGCTGGGTTTTAGAGAGCATGGGGCACAGCCTGTGCCTCTGCAAGCATAGCTCATACCCTTTCATATCAACCTAAAATGAAAATCAAGCTAAGATGAAAAGAGTGGCATGTTAAGTTAGTGTCTTGTGTTGTGGATGACACTCAGTGAAGTATAGAATCTCTCTCAATTTCCCTTTTAATTTTTGAGTGATCACCTCCAGCACAGATAGGGTGCAGACCTGGCTGCTGTAAAGCTCTTCAGACATTGTGAATTGCACCCCAAGGCCTTGATGGCTTTTTCTCAAAGAGAAAAGAGGTAACCTCTTCCTGAATCTAAATGCACAACGGTATTACAAAGTTGTGCATCATTAGTATTGAACTTGGATTTCTTTTTCCTAATTTTTAAAGAGGTGTCTTTGAAGACCAGTTAAGTTTGTGACTGTATCACTTTGCTTTGTGAGCAGTCAACTGGTAGTCTGCTCATGAGGTTGGTATGAATGGTTCAGCCAGTGTTCATGGGGTAAGCCAAGGTTCATAAATTCATGTTTCCCTTGCCCCTGTGTTTATTCAGATTCACCTAGCTCTAACACTTTCATCTTGTATTTCAGCTGGAAAATGTAATAAAATCAAACATAAGGTGCTTCATAATGCTGGCAAATGTGAAAATTCTTTAAATAATTTTCTTTCTCAAATAGTATCACTGGGTGAACCACAAACAGCAGTGGTAAGGGAGTAAGCAAAAATGAAAAACTGCTTAAACTTAAATTGCAAAGATTGTTTTGATTCAGTTATACTTTCAAACAAAGATTTAGCTCACCCTCAGCTCTTTAGAATGATGATAAAAAACTAATAAAAGTAACGCTTAGTTAAGTAAATAATGCACAGTTAGTTTCTTGTAGAGCTATATAAACCTCCAAAAAAATGGTCAAAAAAAAATTTGAACAACAACAAAAAAAATGCAGGCTTGATGAGTTTCATGTGAATAATGTAGTAAGATGCATCTCTGTTGCATGTCTACCATGTATTTTAAGTACAAATACCACAGCAGAGTGCAGTGCCAGTGTCTCTGTCTTTTGATGAAAAATGTACTTTATTAATTTTGACCTTCACAGAATCACATAATTTCTAGGTTGGAAGAGACCTCAAGATCATCGAGTCCAACCTCTGACCTAACACTAACAGTCCCCACTAAACCATATCCCTAAGCTCTACATCTAAACGTCTTTTAAAGACTTCCAGGGATGGTGACTCCACCACTTCCCTGGGCAGCCTGTTCCAATGTCTAACAACCCTTTCGGTAAAGAAGTTCTTCCTAATATCCAACCTAAAACTCCCCTGGTGCAACTTAAGCCCATTCCCCCTCATCCTGTCACCAGGCACGTGGGAAAACAGACCAACCCCCACCTCACTACAGCCTCCTTTAAGGTATCTGTAGAGAGCGATAAGGTCGCCCCTGAGCCTCCTTTTCTCCAGGCTGAACAAGCTCAGCTCCCTCAGCCGCTCCTCGTAGGACTTGTTCTCCAGGCCCCTCACCAGCTTCGTCGCCCTTCTCTGGACCCGCTCAAGCACCTCGATGTCCTTCTTGTAGCGAGGGGCCCAAAACTGAACACAGTACTCGAGGTGCGGCCTCACCAGAGCCGAGTACAGGGGGACGATCACCTCCCTAGCCCTGTTGGTCACACTGTTTCTGATACAAGCCAGGATGCCGTTGGCCTTCTTGGCCACCTGAGCACACTGCTGGCTCATATTCAGCCGACTGTCCACCATCACTCCCAGGTCCTTCTCTGCCTGGCAGCTCTCCAACCACTCATCTCCTAGCCTGTAGCTCTGCTTGGGGTTATTGCACCCCAGGTGGAGGACCTGGCACTTGCCTTGTTGAACTTCATGCGGTTGACCTCAGCCCATCGGTGCAGCCTATCCAGATCCTCCTGCAGAGCCTTCCTACCCTCGAGCAGATCGACACACGCACCTAGCTTGGTGTCATCTGCAAACTTTCTGAGGGTGCACTCAATGCCCTCGTCCAGATCATCGATGAAGATATTAATGAGGACCGGCCCCAGCACCGAGCCCTGGGGAACGCCACTAGTGACCGGCCTCCAACTGGACTTGACTCCATTTACCATGACTCTTTGGGCCCAGCTATCCAGCCAGTTTCCAACCCAACGAAGCGTGCACCAGTCCAAGCCTAGGGCAGCCAGTTTCTTGAGGAGAATGCTTCACCAAAGTCTGTCTGTCCACTTGAAGAAAACTAGTTAACTGTAAATTAGAGATATCACTGAAAGTGCTATTACCTCAAAGTTGGGATATGATTAGGGGGATGTTCCACTGTATTAATTGAGTTTCCATTTTAATTACATACTGTCTTCTATGTAATAATAAGCAGCTGTGTCATACTGTGCATTTCAAAGAACATTTACTCAGCCCTTAAATTTACCATTAAAGATCAAAGAGAGGATCTTATGTATATGGATGATGAAGGATGCCTCAATTCAAATGGATGGCTGAACAGAAATAGTGGAACTAGAGGGTAATAAATATTGTGAACAACCTTTCTTTAATGCAAGTTATCTGGTGCTGAACTATATTAAATTTTATAGCTGTACTGAGAAATATTTCATTACTATCTTAAAACTGCATCAGAGTACTGATAAACATGTGTCTCTTCTAGTGCTTTAAAAATAAACTTTTCAGTCAAAAAGGATTTTTTTTTTCCTAGTGAAAAAAATCGCTGGTGACATTCTTAAAAACAGCTTAGAAATAAATGGATTCTTGAATTACATATAGGGATTTGTGGAGGACGTTTCAGAGTAAAGTCTGGCTAAATGATCGGGGTGTTCCTTCTGATCTTAAAATCTATTTAAATACATATGAATTAGTCCCTTTGGTTTTTATCTTCTCTAAAATGCAGAGGATTTTACATAACCAAAGTAGCCATTAGGGGTATTAGGTGGCTGTTCAAGGATACTTAAATGGAATTACGAGATTATCAT